ATAATAATAATAATATTTCTCGGGGGGGTTTTTTTCATTTGAAAAAATAGCAAAAAATTAATAATTTTGTTTACGTTTGTTATAAACAACAATCGACAAACGATAGATATCCGCCATTAAAAATTTTTAAATTATATATACAAACGTATAGAATGACGATTATTAAAAAATGAAAAAAAATTTCGGCGGGTTGTTATTAGTGACTCACAATTTCGATAGAAGGTTGTACCTGTTGTTACGTACAAACAACAAACAAACTTGTAATTTTATATATATATATATAAAATTTTTTTTTTTTTTAGTCATCGATGATTTCATTTCTTTTTTTTTTTTTTGCAACAACAACAACAACAACAAAATAATTATTTTTTTTTTTTTAGCAAGAACTCGAAAATTAATAATAAAAAAAATCAAATAATCGTTTATCTATTAGTAACCATACAAATTATTTATTTATTTAAACAATAAATTACGACTTCCATTAATTTAAATTTTTTTTTTAAATCCGAAGGTTGATAATTATAAATTACTATTTAAATATTTAAAATACATAATCACACTTTAAATAATAATAATAATAATAAATTTTTTACGAGATAAAAAAAAAAAAAATTACCAAAAATAAATAAATATGGCGAGACATTAAACGAGGACATTTTTTTTTTTTTTTTAAATAATATTTGATATAAATATTTACTTTTTGTTTTTGTTTTTTTTTTTTTTTTCTTAGTAAGAATAAAATTAACATCGATAAAATTATTTACAACGTAATTTTTTTCTTTTGACACGATTTAAATTTTATCTTTGTAAACCTTAAAAAAAAAATTTTTATATGCGTGAGCGTGGAAGCAGAAAAAATTTAAATAAATTGACCCGTTAACAACAATAAAGTTCAAAAAAAAAAAAAAAGAAAAACAGAAAATTACGTAATATTTAAATGTATTCGTACCTTAAAATTATTATTATTATTATTTTATTACGTAAATATGACAAAATATAATTGTGATAATATCATCATCATCATCATCCTCATCAAAAATACGATCAAATCTTGTGTATTTTTAAATACAAAATAATTATATTTATAATTAAAAAAAAAAAAATTACTCTGACGTTTAATAATTAATTAATTATTCATACACCGTAATAATAATAATAATAATAATAATAATAATAATAATAATAATAATAATACGTGAGGATACGAATACGTAATTATTATTATTATTATTTTTTTTTACGGTGACGAAAATACAAAAAAAAAAAAATTACATTTCTTAGCGTAACTTTCCCAATAATTAAAAAAAAAAAAAAAACGTCGTCGCGGTCATTATTATTATTATTATTATTATTATTAGAAATCGTATTCGAGTCTAACGTAATAGCAGTAAATTAATTAAAAATAATAATAATAATAATAATAATAATAATAATAAAGGGCTACCTTAAAAAATTACCCACTCTTCTCTTTTCTGTTTCGTCGAGTAGTACGAAAAAAAAAAAAAAAAAATTGATTATTTTTAAACTAATATCAGGTTCATGACGTAAAACTAGGTATGACCTTCAAACGACCTTAAATGCATTTACAAAAAAAAATTTTATAAACCTGGCAAAATTAAATTAACTTTCCCTTTTTTTTTTGTAATTTTACATCGATTTAATTTTAAATTAAATAAGTTATAAAAAAAAAAGTTAATAATTATAAGGGGAGGGGAGGAGGGAGGGGGTTTACGCCGCACTATTAATAATAATAATAATAATAATAATAATTTTATCAAGACATTGAAATTAATTTAATCTCCGTGAGAGAGTGAGCCCATTTACAAAACAAGTCATAAAACTTATCAATGAGTATTTATCATTAAACAAACGGTAAAAATAGTCATCATGTATATACATATACTTCTGGGGAAAAATTAGGGTCAAAAGGTTAGAAGGGTGGGGGGGTCACGTTAAAAATTATTATTACTATTATTATTATTAATTGTTTTTTTTTTTTTTTAAATACAAAGAAAACGATTTATTATTATTATTATTATTAATGGGAACGGAAATTAATACGTCAAACCAAAAAAAAAAAAAAAAAATTAAATTTTTTCAACACCGGTAAAGTTTAATTAATAATAATAATAATGATCCAATCTTTGAATGACTGAATGAATGAATCAATCAATCAATCAATCATCAAACCACTGAACTTTAAACATTTAAAGGATTTTTTTCTTTTTAATATCAAACAAACGTTAAAATAAATAAGTAAATGTCAAAATTTTCATGGCCTTAAAACTCAACCTTTTTAATTTTTTTTATTAATAATAATAATAATAATAATAATAATGATGATGATGATGATGATAATAATAATTTTCCTAGAGGTTTTTTTTTCTTCTTATTGAAAATTATTATTACGCTTAAAAAATCTATATGTATAAAAAAAGGGGGAAAGTATTAAAAGAAAATCTACAATGCTAAAAAAAAAAAAAATAGTGGAAAACGAGGAAAATTAATGACGTCATGGGGAAAACTCATAATATTAGTAATACCAAAACAAAAATAAATAAATAAATTATTATTAATTAAATTAATTTAACATGTCGATCGACATTATTTATTTATTTATTTATTTTTATTTTATTCTTAAAACGTTTCTTCGAAAAATATTTTTTGTTTTTGGTGGGGGGAGGAAGGGGGTTCCCCATATCTATATATATATATTATAATTTAAAAGAATGCAATTTTACTTGCTGTTTCCACGATTTAAAATATTAAAAAAAAATTGATGTAAAATTATAATTTAAAAAAAAATATGTCAAGAGTTTCTGGTTGTTTGTGTTTGTGTGTGTGTGTATGTGTGCAATCATTTTTTACCTCACAGAGCAACTTTTTTTTTTTTTTCGAAAAGAAACAAGTCGTGAGTATACACACACACACACACAGAGAAACGCACACTTGAAAAACTCAAAAGATGATTTGGCAAGGCCATTGACTTTGATGTCAAGGACGATACATTAATCTTCCTGGATATAATTCATTCTAATCTGGATAATGCTTGGTTTTATATATATAAAAAAAAAAAATTTTTTTCTTTCTTTTCATTTTGACTTTGATTTAAAAAAAAAAAAAAAAATTTTTTTTTACCCGAAACGGGATTTTTATATTAAAAAAAAAAAAAAAAAATTTTTTTTATTGTTAAAGGCTAACCGGAGAAGAAGAAAAAAATTTTTTTTTTTTTTTTTTTATATATATAACCTATAAACCTTTGACATTAAATAACGAAAAATATAAACTATTAATTATTACAAAATTACTATAAAAAAAAAAAAAAAAAAATGTTAATTTACAGTTGGAAAAATCCAATAACAAAAAAAATTATGTAAATGTATGCACATTCGGAGGCGTTTGTATTTTAAATGATTAATTATTTTTGGCGCCAAATTTCACAAAGATTTTCCAATTTTTCGACGAGTTTGTTTGTCGTCGAATCAAACAAACAAACAAACTATTGTTTTGTTTATAAATTACAAATGTCGATAATTTACAAAAAGATCCGTCAGGGAAAAAATTTTGAATTTTTACGACAATGAATTTTTTTCACCAAAATACGAAAAATTTCCCTGTTTTTTTTCCCTTTCTACAAACAAACAAAGGGAAATTTTCTTTTAAACCGTCAACATTAATAAAACATTTGCTTTAAAAAATAAAAATAAATTTTTATTTTAATTTTTTTTTATGTAAAATTTAACAACGAAAGTAAACAAGAAAAATTTTATCCATTTTCTATTTGTTTTGATACCGAGAAAAAAAAACCGGAAATGGTTTTTATAAGGAAAATTTGAATCAAAATCTTAATAATTTTCTTTTTTTATATTTGAATTTTTTTTTTTTTTTTTTTTTTTTTTTTTTAGGGCAATAGTTTTTGTTTATTATCTTTAACGAAATGAAATGGTATTTCTATAAGGGACAAAGAACTATTTTCCGAATTTTTTAATAAACAATGTTTCATTTCCGGGACGCTGTTTAACGATGAACAACTGCTTTGCCAAGCTTCCACGGAAATCCCATTTTCGCTCATGTTTTCACAAACTAATATTATTTCCGCACTTATGCTTCCAAGATCGTAATAAGAATGTTGACTTAATATTTGTACCGTTTTTATTCTTTTCAATGGTGTCCCATGAGTCAAATCATCTTCGAATTCGAATATTTCAACGCTTTCTTTTTCTAAATTATTATTATTATTATCAATCATCGTCGTGGATGATGAGTCGGAAAATGCATTACTTTTATTTTTGAAACGAAAATCCGTGAACATGATTTCAGAATCCGCATCGGACGTTATTAAATTTTTTCTTTCTTTTGATTTTTTCAACAGAATAACGTCAGAATTATTTCCTTTTAATTTTTTCCTCCTGTTTCGCTTTCCCATTTTTTCATTTTTCGTCATTTTTATTTCGTCGCTCGTTTTTTTAATGGCGCCTTGACGAACAAACAAATCGTGGCTGGATTTTAAACAACAAATATCCATCGTAGAATTCGTTTTATATTTTTCGCAATCGGTTTTATCAATAATTTTTTTATTATTTATTTCTGATAGGGGAACTCGATCCAAATCGATTTTGACCTCTTCTGACTTTTCCCTTTTTCCACTTGTCATTGTAAAACAATTGTTGTTTAATTGATTGTTTAAATGGTGGCAAGAATTTGTCGAGTAATTCATTGTTGTCGTTGTCGTTGTTTCAATTTTTTCATTTAAATTATTTTTTATTGTTTCGCAAGAGACTGATGACGATTCGGTATCCGTACCTTTATCATTATCATTCTTATTACATACAATGACGTCATTCTCATCTTCATCCTCATCATCCTCCTCATCATCATCATCTTCATCCTCTTCATCGTCTTCCGTTCCAACATTATTATTATTATTTTCAAATCCTTTTTTATCAACCTTTTCATTCGTATCGTAATTAAATATTGTAAAATCATATAAATTATCATAATCGGAAAAATCAGATTCGAATAAAAAATCTTTATCGATTTTTTTAGTAAATTTTTTTTTCACTTGATACGTCGTTGTTATCGTCGCAGCTTTTGACGAATTCAACGGGAATATTCTAGAATAAGTATCGGAATTACTTAGAGAATCATTCACGTTGACATCAATTGAACAAAAACTTTTACTCGTTGATTTATCCGAATTGATACCCGTGAAATTTTTATCATTTTTTTCCAATTCTTTCAATATTAATTTCAAATCGTACGAATTGACTTCTTCGACATCTTCGCTTTCGTCCGCGTGATGATATAATTTTTTAGCATTCGATAATATTTTTTGCACTTGGTATTCCGTTTGTTCCCAATTGATATTATCCAACGATTGATTTTCCTTATCGGTATTAATCAATAAACTATTACAATCGTTCAAATCACTTTTACGTTCTTGTACGAATTCTTCTCTGCGAATCAAAAATGCGTTATTCGATATCCCCCCCCCGTCTAATTTATCCGTTATTTTTTCCGTGTTGATTGCGTAGCAAATGATATTCGACGGCAAAACGTTTTTTTTTGTCTTCCTTCTTAGCCCCCCGTTTAATTCGTGGACGTTCGCATCGGATTCATTTTTTTTAAAACGTTTTTTATTAATTATGTCGTCTATGTCGCTTTGACTGAATGCGGATTCGAACGGTTTTTTTTCACTTTTCGATCCTCTCACGTGATCCGAACTGCTGTATATTAATTTTTTTTTATAATCTTTTATGTTTCTCAATAACTGACAGGAATTTCTTAAAAATTTCGATTCGCGCCTTTGTTTTCTCGGTCTCCCCGTACCCTTGGATACATTTTGACGAACGTTCGAACGTATTAATATATCATTTGGATTTCTTTTATTAAATTCCGATGATTTTAAAATGTCCTCTTTACTCCTTTGCATTCCTTTCCGTTCCGAATCATTTTTAAAATCATCAACCATTTTGATTTCTTCGAAAAGTTCATCGAGAAAAACAGTAACGCAAACTTTTTTTTTTAAAGAATCCATTGAAACTGGCATTTTTTTCAAAAAATTTTTCTTTTTACTTCGCTACAAAAAAATTTTTTTTTTTTTTTATAAAACTAATGGTTTCGTCAAAACGCAAAAAAAAAAAAATAATAATAATAATAATAATTATACAAAAAAAAATAAAGCAGACAAAAAAAAAAAAAAAACTCCATTTGCAATCTACAATTACATCTAATGAGCACCTAAATAATAAAAAAAATAAGGAAAATGTTTATTTCTTGCCTAAGGAAATTACTAAGGAATTTTCCAGAAATTCTAAAAGGGGATAAATAAAACCAGTCGTCGACACACGCACACACACACACACGCAATATATATACTACCTCGATTTATAAACTATTTCAATTTGTTTAAACAAAAAAAAAAAAAACTCGTAATCGTAATTTAAAAAACTTCTGTTTCCAATTAAAAAAAAAACCGACCGAAAAAAAAAAAAAAAAAACAAAATTAAAATTTTTTTTTTTTCTTCGGTTCCCCTCTTTTGGAAAATACCGACAAAATTAATTAGTTGAAAAAAAAATCTTTTTTTTTTCACTCATTAAAAAAAAAAAAAAAAAAAAAAAAAAAAATTTTTTTTTTTTTTTCTATGTCATTACCACTAAATTATTTTTTTTTTAAAATCATTAAAATTTATTCGTTTGTACAAAAACCGTTAATAAATAACAATATAAATATTTAACTAAACGATTTATAAATAAAAACGATAATAAATAATCGATTAATAATAATAATAATAATAATAATAATAATAATAATAATAATAATAATAATAATAATAATAATAATATTTACTTAATTATCCATTTTTTTTTTTTGCAAAACGATGTAAAATTTTCGATCGTTTATAAAAATTATAAAATATTTATTACGTAATATTTATTTAGTAACTTATTAATAATAT